CTGGCACAGTGTCCACTCTTGCTGTCTTGAACTGCAAAGTCATATAATGCTTTTTCATAAAGTGTGGTGCCCCCTCACTCAGGTACAACTTGAAGACCTGCATCTTTAAGAGCACTTGATTTAAGCCATAGCTGTTTCATACATATGTACATATATTTATTCTCCTGCGCACCCCCAGGCTCACTGGATCCTGCTTCCTCTCTTCTCAGGCAGTCACTTATTACTCGAGCAGCCCAGAAAATGGCCCCAGCCCCTCTGCGTGCCCTGCTCCCACCTGCGCTTACAAAATGCTTCCAGGTCCTGCTGTGCCTAAAGGCAGGATTAGGATGAGCCACCGGAAAAATCAAGGTCACCAGCAAAGCCATTTAACTTGTGTTGGACTTTCACTTTCAAATTTAAGTTTAAATTTAATTTAGCCTGTGCAGAAGGTTCTTGAAAAGGAAAGATTATGTGGCTTCTGCATGCAGACTTCTTCATTCATGCTGTTTCACTAAAGGTATAGGAGAAAAGGGCCCATTTTACTTGGAAACAGCAGCACTCAAACTGTGGTATGAAGGTTGGAGAGGTAGCAAAAGCAGGTTACTTACTATGTCTATAAACCGGCTGCCCAAATCTGTTCCTGTGCACGCAGCTTGTGTGTCCGTGTGGAGCTGCGAAGGAGCCCGGCGCGGTGGCTGGCTTTCTTGGTGTGGTGTGGGAGCTGAGAGCACAGGGCGCTGGCTGCACTCTGAAGGCAGCCATCAGTTGTGTTGCTCAGATAGCTGAAGTGATGAGGGCTAGGGGCGAATTTTGCATGTGCCTGCAAGGTGTAGTTGCAACTGCCTATGGACTGAAAACTAAAATGGCGATAGCGTGTAATCCCCAGGATTTATAATGGCTTTGAGGTGGCAGCAGGAGGGAGAGCTGCTGTTGCTGCTGCATGTCCCCCCTGGGAGCCCAGCGCAGCAGAAGGGCTGGGCAGCCTTCGGCAAGGAAGTCCCTGGATTTCTCGTGCAGAGGAAATCGTTATAAACAGGATGTTTGCTCCAGCCCCGTTCCAGGCTGCTTGCGGCAGACCCCACAACGGGTGCTCAGACCCCACTCGCCTGGACCCTGGGCAGGGGGAGGAGGAGGTGGGGGGGCTCCCCCCAGCTGGAATTAGTGTGGAGCCGCTTTCAGGATGTCAGCATCAGGGCAGAGGCCCCCACGGGTCTCATATCTCTGGTTCATGAGACTGCAGGAGCTTTTTTGGGACTGGCTGTGTAAAAACTGTTTTGCGGTGCTGCTGTGGTTCTGCAGGGAGCCCCATGGTGGGTCCCAGGTCTTGCAGGTCACAGGGGCATTGCTGGCAGTGGCCGAGCGCAGTGCAGGCAGCAGCCCCATGCAGCATTAAGAGGCAAAGCGCAGCACTGAGGTTGGCACTGTCACTAGAGCGGTTACTCCTCTAGCTGTGGCTTGGGACAGCCCATGTATCAAAGCACATGGAAACAGTCCTAAGGAAACAGTTAAACTCTGTGCAGCTCTTGGGTAAATCACCAGCCTCCTGGCTGCACAGATGCACAGGCTCTTCTCAATAATCTCTTTGAAGATCCTCACAACTCATTCCTCATCACGGCCAGAGCAGCAGGCTGCGCACCCCGGGGTGTCAGGGGCCGCCCAGCTGTCCCCCTCCCCTCTGTGGGTCTGGGAGGGTGCCCGCACAGCCTCCCCTCCCCTCCCCGCGAGCTTCCTGCGTCCCCCAGCTCGCACACAGACAGCCACGTGCTGCTGCCACCAGGCCTGCCTTCCTACCTGCTTCAGTGGTAAAACATTTTTCAGGCTGGTCCTGCTCCTGGAAGGAAGTGTGTATGGTGTATGAGCTATAGGATTGCCAGTTGCATTTATTTAAATCAGGTTTTCTGGGCTGAAACAAGCCCATTAGGTTTTTGGATGTTCAGACTATCTGGACACACCCATAATTATTCTTTGGCATTTCTGCCCTTGTTGAAAATGCATATTTATAAATTTTCCATATTTCCCATATTCCCAGCGCCTGGCTTGCAGCCTGCTGTGCCTGCATAAACATACACGGTCATGCTGATTCAGATGGACTGATTTCCCTAATTTTCTCATTGCTAGACTGCAAATCCGAATGCAACTTTGTGAGGTGAAATGCATCCCACACAGATCCAGAGTAGGGCGCTTTGTGCCTGGCCCTTCCCCATTTAAAAGCTCAGTGTGTGTGACCAGAGCACGTTTCAGCTGTGCCAGCCGTGCCCCTGGTAGTAAACCTCAGTACAGCACCTGCCCTCGGGGGGCTGCCTTGGGGTGCCGGGGGCTCTGCTGGCCAGGGTGGCTGTGGCTGTGGCTGTCACCTAACCAGCTACCTTCTGTCTGTCCCCCCCCCGGCTCAAAATTAAAATTACATTTCTTAATGTGGAGGCTCTGTAAGAGGAGCTGTGTGAGATGCCAAGGGACTTCATTTAGTTGGGACACCTGAAGAGGCAGAAGCTGTAAAGATGCTTGCTGAGCATTAGCAATGAAAGCACCCAGGTCACCTGGATGGCAAAGGCCACATTAGCAGCTGATTTGCGCTGGGTTGTTTGAAGTTTGGGGAGTGTTTAGGTTCAAGAGCTGAGCCTGGTAGCACAGACGAGCTTCTCACCAGGCCTTCTCTACTGATTGAACATCAGGGTGGCTGTTGCTTGAACCTGGAGACCCCCTGTTTGGGCAGGTGAGTTCCCGAGGTGCCTGGATTGGCAGGAGCAGGAAAGGATTGCTCATGTGAGACGAATGAAACCCTGGGCTGTGATTCAGTGATGAGACAGGATCATTTGTACAGGCAGGTTTTCTACCAGCCATAGCAGCGCAAAGATGCGATACTCAGGCTTATATGGGATCAAGGTCTGTGCTGTCCTTCTGCAGCTGCTGCACACCCTGCCCATGGGCTCGAGTAATGCATCCAGCAGTCGCTCGCTCTTGGCTGGTCTGGGCTAGTGGCAGGTGGGATGGTCTGGCAGAGGGCAGGTCCCACGGGCAGGATTGTGGTACCATTGTGAGGAGGTGCCGTCACCAGGCTGGCTGTGCCAGCAGAGCCCCGTGCATCCCCTCAGCCTCCCAGAGCAAGGGAAAGCTCCTGTCCTCTCAGTTGGCAGGTTGGCGTTGGTGTGGGGCTGTTTGGGGTTTGCTTCTGGCACTTTGGGCTCTGTGGAGCCCAGGAAGGGCTGGCATCCAGTGGTGGTCTTAGTCTGCTCTGATGAACACTATAAAAATAATTGGTTGAAATGAGCTGCGTTGGGGTGATGATGGGGTACAGGGATGCAGCGGGGATCTCTGTGCCTGGTGACACCATGGCAGGAGGCAATTCTTGCCTTTCCATTTGCTGGTGAAGCTGCTGATGCTCTGGTTGAAGGTATAAAGTCAAGCAAGAAAAAGTGTGTTGACAAGGCCCATCTGCATGAGGGCTCTGCTGGCCCGCTGGCTTCCTCTCTGCCAGGCTCCTGCTCCGCTCCGAGTCAGCACAGATTTGTTCTTCTGTTTTGCAAATGTCTTCCCAATGGCTTCTCTCCATCTGCCTGCCTCAAATGCTTCCCCAGCCCTGGCCCCTGGTTATTCTTCTCCGCTTCCTCCAACGGTGCCTGTGTCGCGCCACCCACCTTGCCTGGGTTTCTTTTCTCAGGACTCTTGGTCCTGGGCCAATGCTTGCAGAGCAATTCAAGGTTTGCTGCATCCCAGCACCTGATCCTGCTCCTCCTTCTCCTCCAAAACAAAGCAGTTGCGTCATCCACCACAGTCCAGGTCGATAATAGTGTTTCCTATGTCCATGTGTAGGAGCGGCAGGACAAAAGGGCGGGATGTGGCTCACCTGGAGCTGCAGGATTAGACCATGGGAAAGAGGGAGCTTGAACCTTCTCCCCTTGGCTCCTGGTCCAGTCCTTAGAGCTCTGTTGAATACATGACCTCCACTTGAAGGGCTTAGAGAGCTGTGCTGGTAAACACTGCCTTCGGTTTGTTCAGTTGTCCTCAAAATAAACTTTGGCATTTCACCTCTCCGGTATGTTGCCCTGTGTCGCCTCGAGAAGGAGAAGAAGAGCTTGTCGGGGAGGTGAAGCATCTCTTGTCCCTTGTAACCCATGGCTGCTTGGAGTTTTAATCTGTTTATCTGAGCAGCCTCGTCTGCCCCAAAGGGGAGCGGGGATCTGGGGCTGGCACCGAGCCCTTCGCTGGGAACAGCTCTGGCTGAGTTTGTGCAGAGGTGAGGGGGAAGAGGACCTGCATCCCCGAGCTGCTGGGGACGTGCCCACCCAGTGGGTGCTGCCCGCTCTGTGGGGGGACAGCAGGGGCCAGGCAGGCAGGTGGGGGGGACTGGCAGGACTCTGCGCACATCCCTGCGAGAGAAACAGCAACATTCTGGTGGATGTACTTGACCTCTTTATTGGCATATTTTTCTCTCAAACTCCTCAAAATCAAGAGTGCAATGAACTACTGGACAGTAGGGGAGGGAAAAAAAATGTTAAAAAAAAAAAAAAATTAAAGACCCGACAGCCCCCCCCATCTCTCATTTCCCAAAGAAAATGCTGCATGATTTCTGCTGGCCACGTCAGCTCCCGGCTATGACAGCTATCTCATCCTGTTGGCAAGGCCACTCTCTGGAGCAGCCCTTGCTCCAAAATGCAGTGGGAAAAGATGTAAACAGAGAGGAAGCTGGAGCTGAAGCTGGCTGCTCGGGGTGGGTGTCCAGGTACGGGGCCAGGCACGACTGCCAGCGGTGTCCATGAGCCTGGCGATGGGGACGGTCCCTCCGAGATGGCTGCTGCGGGCGGTGTGCAGGGTCTGCCCCTGAAGCTTGGGTGGTCGTTTATGCTGGGGATGCCTGCGGGATGTGTCCTGGGGAGCACCAAAACCTCTGCATCCCGGTGTGGGGAGAAGGGGCAGCTTTGCCATGCAGAGAAGCAAAACCCAACGCTTTTGTCTCTTCCCTACCTGGTAGACTTTGCTCAGTGAGACAGACCTGACTTAATTCCTCTCTCTTTGTTTCCCAGATCATGATTGAGTTCTGCCCAGGCGGGGCGGTGGATGCCACCATGCTGGGTGAGTGCAGCGTGCGGTGCTGGCCTATTCTCCATGCTCGGGGCGATGCCTGCAAGGCGTTTCCAGCCTTCTGGCACGCTTTCAGGGGCAACCTTCGGACAGACGGCAGATGCGGGTGCCCTATAGCTTCTCCAGCTACCATTTCTCTCCCATGAGTTTGCCTATTTTCGTAACCAGAGCAGAAGGTGTGGCAGCCCTGGGGCATTTCTTGAACTACTTTTAAGTCCTTTTGTGATTTAAATGTTGCTGGGATCAGCAGATCACAAGGCATGAGGTGAAGGGAGAGTCTGGCTGGAGGGGAAAGATGGCTTTAAATATTTCTCTGCCGGAGGCACTGGGTGCTTGGGATCCCGTTCCCACAGCTTCCCAGGAAGGGCAGTGAGGCTGAGATGTTTAATCTGGGCGCCGGTCGTGATGAATCTCCCAGGATCTCCTTGCTGACTTCTCTGTGTGGTATCAGTCATCTGGTGAAGCAGCACGAGCATTCAAATAAACTGCAGTTTGCAGTAATTCCAGGAATCTTCCCATTTTTAACTCCTCCCTTGCACATAGAGCTGCTGGGACTGGGAGTGTGTGGGTGTTCCCCAAAAATGCCCTGGCTGGTGCCACGGGCCCTCTGTACCAGGGCTGTACAGACCCAGGGGAGGTGATGTCCCCTCCACGAAGCGAACACGGTGTTCTGACATCTGCTTGCCTGGAGCCCCTGGGGCAGAGCCATGTCTCCACGGGGGTTACTCCCTTTCAGCCCTGATATTTCCAAAGGCCTCAATTTCTTTTTATTTCCAGGAAGAGTATGGACCTAAACTTGTCATCTTTGATTAAGCCCCTAAAACTTGTGCCTCCATTAGGGATCTTCTTTAAAGCAGGTCCAAATCACTGCAAGTAAAAGTGCCTTTGCTGAATTGCTGGAGAAAATGATGTCTTACCCTGGAAAACCTCAACAGGGGTCCCCTGTCTCTTGGGACACTAAACCCCACCCTGAGCATTCATGGGTCCATGTTCATGGCAGTCAGTCTCTGGAGGACATGGGAGCTGGAGTGGGAAGGGGGTGCTTAGAAAATCATGAGCAAGTGGCCTGGCTGTAGTGCCATTACCCCCTGAATGAGGGGCAGGAGGAGCTGGGGGTTGGAGCTCAGGAGTGCTCCTGGCATTAGTAAATTCAGAGTTGCCGGATGCTGCCTGTTCCACCTCCCCATCCCCACCAGCAACTGGCATTTGCCTTTGAAATCTTTTGTACAAAACCTGTGGCTTGCTGCACCTCACTTTCGCCACAGGCTCCAGGGAGAGAGAAAATCATCACCTTTCCCCAGAGCAATGGAGATCTCGGTGAGGAAGAGGAGGAGAAACAGAGTGGCTGACCCAGCATCCCTGAGCCTGTGGCTAAGATCCTTGCTCTGAAGCAGCATCTGTCCCAGTTGCTGGGGTCCATCCATCGGTCCCCATCCTGGCCATGCAGTTTGGGCAGTTGGAGTTGACTAAGGCTTGGTCTGGTCTCCACGTGCTCTGCTGTGCTGGAGGGGGGATCTGTGCTGCAAGGGGCTTGCAGAGGGAGAGAGAGAGAAGTTCAGATGATGTTAACCGTCTGGAGGTTTGATAGTTTGCAGAACCATTGCCTTGGAAAGTGGTCTTGGACAGTGAAGGTGGCTGGGCAGAGCTCAGCAGGGAGGTCGTGCCAGTGGTTGTGTGTCCCCACAAGCTTCAGAAATAGGGACAGACAGCACGGTATGAGCTGGTGTTCTGGTACCTGGTGCTACCTGAAAAAGCAGCTCAGAGTAATGGGTAGGGATAACACTGATGAGTATTTTATTGCTTGTTGCTTTGGGAGGTGGCGTGTCCCTCCTGATGTCCAGGGGGGTACACTGCATCTCTGCAGCAGGGGTAGCTCCCTGGGGGATGAGAGCACGGGCTGCATACGGAGCTGCCAAGTGTTCATGCCTGCGTTTGACCCTGCTGCCGCCTGCAGCCGAGTTCAGCTCCCTCCTCTCTGCAGCATCGTCGCTGCACCAGGTGAGACCCGGCTTGCCTGCACGGACCCGTTTCCCAAATCGGCAGAGAACAGACAGCTCAGAACCCCCTTGCAGGCGTGCCTGGCTCCCCCTCCTCATCCCCCTCATCTGCTGTTCCTGGGCCAGTCGGCTCAGCCATGCATCCCCGGGAGGGAGCTATAAACCAGCAGCTCCAAGCAGGTAGGCGTTGCACTACAACTGCTGGCTAAGGAAATAAATTACTTTAACAAGCTGATTTGCATTGGTCTCCTGCTGCTTTGACACATGGACAGTGGTTTTTAAATGGTCCATTGGGTAGCCCGTGCCTTTCTGCTGCTCAGGTGGAGCATATCTCCAATCCCCGCCCTGTTTAATGGTTCTCTCCCTTCCCGCAGAGCTGGACCGAGGCCTGACCGAGCCCCAAATTCAAGTGATTTGTCGCCAGATGTTGGAAGCCCTGCATTACCTCCACAGCAAAAAGATCATCCACCGTGACCTGAAGGCAGGAAACGTGCTCCTCACCCAGGATGGGGACATCAAGCTTGGTGAGCCACCTGGCACAGGAGCACAGCGGGTGCTCGCTCGGCCAAGCTTGTTGCGAGAGCAGGCGTGGGCGATGGTGCTGCTTGGGACCATTTCACAGTACGCTAACGACAGGCGTGTGCTGCTTGGGAGCTGGATCGTAGTGTTCGGCTGTGCCTGAGCATGGCGGGGGATTGAGGGATGCTCTCTGCCTTCTGCCCTGCCTCCGGGACATCAGATGCTTGTCTGCTGGCTGATGAGCTCAGGCAGGAGAAGGTGAGGGAAAACTGTGTTATTTCACGGGAGGCCAAATCTACCACTGAACTGTGTGCTCTGCTTAGCGCCCAGCCGGCACCGAGACTCCCTGAGCTGCAGCCATTCTCAGGCCCTTGATGGACTTTTCCTTTCGTGAATTTGTTTAATCGCTCTTTGAACTTGATTTTTATGCTTTTTGGCCTGCTGAGCATCCTGTGCAGGGTGCCAGTTGGCACGGCTGGGAGCTGGAAGAATTCGTCTTATCTCCAGAGCAGGTCTGGTGGTGACAGGGCGAGTTTTGCCAAAGGGTTGCTTTGCCAACTTGCTGTGGGCTTGAGTTAAATTGGCATCCACCTACCTGCTGGAGGATGAGAAGCTTTCTCTGTAGGCTCTGGTCAGAAAGGTGCAAATCTCTGGATTCTGGATCTCTGGAATCTGCAGATTCTGGACCCTGACGAGGGGTGCCAGCAGCTGTGGGGCATTCTTGGCATGTGTCTTGGGATGATGGAGACCAACTAGCCTGGGAAGATGGAAACCTTCCCGTGACCATGCGTTCTGTTCTGATGTAAGAAATGCTCTGCTGGCTTGGGCCAAGGATGACCCATGGTCAGGGGCACCCTGAGCCTGGGGTGCAGATGGATAACAGCTCTTCCAGAGGTCTTCAGGGCCATCTCAGAGAGCAAACTGACCTGGAGTGGGCTCGGTACCCTCTGCAGGTCTTACCAATTCAGGTTGGGTTGGGTTGGGTTGCTTCAGCAGCTCTCTATAGAAGGGACAAAATCAGGGAAAGGCATCACGCTGTGCATGGGGCTGAAGGGAAGAGAAAGAATGCAACAGCACTTTGGTTTTTCTGGTGTAAAATTAGACTTTTTGCTATGAAATAGCAGTCCTGAAAGTAATCTGCCACAGAGCTGCTTTTGTTTGTGGAAAAGATCCTACTTCCCTCTAGATGTGTAGGGTTGGGTTACAGCAGGGGTGGCTTGTTATGCCCCTGTCTTATAGTACATGGGAGGGGAGGTCCCTGGTGGTTGTGTACCCAAAAGCAAATTTAATTTCTGATGCTCAGTTTAGAGGAAACAAGCACGTTGTATCATGTTCTTGCCTTCAATGTGTGTTTGCTTTTAAATCTGCGTTTCAGCCAAGTGTGCTAATTCAGAAGGGTCGTTCAGTTTTCCTACAGCATCTAATGTTACTGCTCTTTGCAGCTGACTTTGGAGTGTCTGCCAAAAACATGAAAACCTTGCAGAAGCGAGACTCCTTCATTGGGACCCCTTACTGGTGAGTGACTTGCTTGCTAAGAAATCCCATGTTCATGAGGGGCTTTGCTCTTCTGAAAATCCGGCTTGCTCAGAAATGGGGAGCTGATGGCCTTTGGGATGTGTCGGACCATAGCGCCTTACCGAGCGTGGGTGGGAGGATTTTAACAAGGAGTCTTGGCCAGTGTCCACATGTGCAAGGGTTTCCCTTGCCTGAAGGGAGCTGTGAGCAGCCTCGGTGGTGCAGGAGCATTGCCCCGTGTCACGGTGCCCTGAGCAGGCTGAGGGGCCACCATGCTCCAGGCTTGGAGGAGCGAGGGACACACATGTGCTCGCGTGTGTGCGCTTGCCGCTCCCCCCGGCCCGGGGGGGTGGAGTGGGCTTTGAAGCAGCTCCAAGCACATGGGAACGACTCCTCGCTCCAGAAACGCAATCTCTAAATCACCCGACTTGCTGAAGGAACGGAATCGGCGAGGATTAATTTATTGTCTGAAGCAACATCCGCGCCAGATGTCAATGGCCTGGGGGTTTCCACGGGCTGCCTGTGGAAACCAACTGTCTCGGTTAGGTTGCAGAAGGGGGGATTGGACCCCTTAGAAAAGATGCGCTTCTTCTGAAACCCAGAGCTGGGTGGAAAGGCCCTTTTTTGTGCAATGTTGTGGATTATTTAAAGCATTTAATCGCTGCTGCAAGGCTCACATGCATGGCAGTGGTGTCATCGCTCCCTATCCCTGCTCCTTGCTCTGCCCCTTGCAGGATGGCCCCGGAGGTGGTGATGTGCGAGACCATGAAGGACACTCCGTACGACTACAAAGCGGACATCTGGTCCCTGGGAATCACGCTGATCGAAATGGCCCAGATCGAGCCACCCCATCATGAGCTCAACCCCATGAGAGTCCTACTGAAGATTGCCAAGTCCGATCCCCCCACACTCAGCTGCCCTTCCAAATGGTGAGGGCTGTTGGGCAGCAGAATACATGTCTCCCAACTTACGCAGTATTTCAAGAGAGAAGTAGTCGTCTTTTATAGCAGTATTGTTTAATTTGAGAACCTAATGTAGGATTCTAGCTGTATTCTAGGTCCAGCTGTGTGCTAGGGGCCTCAGCGCTGCCTGCGCTGTGACCGTGCTGCCGGTGTGCAGGCAGCACAGCAGGTGTTGCTGCCCACCCGCAGCCCTGCTGACGCGAAGGTGATCCCATGGCTGTTTTCAGAACATCCCAGTTTTGTATGAAAGGCAGATTTTTCTCTAAACCTGGAGATGGCTGAGAGCTCCAGAATTCTTTCCTAGAGTCTGGAAGGCCTCTTCTGCATTTAAAAAAATCCAATCAGTTAATTTTTTTTTTTTTTTAATGGTGACAAAACCCATTGCATTATAGCCAGCAGCATATTATTGTGAGAGCACTGGAGTCAAAAGCATTGTTACCACAGTTCAGGTAGCAGGCAGGAGCCCACCGCTAAAACCTGGCAGGCAGGGTGGGAGCACTTCCCCTGGAGCTGCTTAGAAGGCAGAATTGGATCAGGAACGCACTCTGTATCTCAGAGCTGTGCTTTGCAGGCTGAGGGTGCCCTCCTATGGGGTTCCTGGTCCTTCACAGCCATCCTTTCACACTGTGGCTGTGGGGATGGGTCCTGGAGCTTCCTCATCCACAAGCAGCTCCACCCATGGGCTCCTTTGGAGGATAACTGCTGGCATCCTCTCCTATCTCTGCCTCGGCCCTGGGGCACAGTGGCTGGCACTCAGTCCTGCCGTCTGTTGCCATCACAGGTAAGGCAAAATCTAGTCCCTCACTTGGCCACATTGCTGCTTCTCTTACAAATAATCAGAATAACTGAGCACAGGATTTCCCGTGCTGGGAGTGAAATGGTGACTGTGGCCAGGTGCCAACTGGGACGCAACCTGCAAAGGGATCGAGCAGACCCCTGTGGCATTCGAGGCCTTTCCTTCTTCTGAGCTTCTTGCCAACGACTGTGTTTTAAGGTCCCTGGAGTTTAGAGACTTCCTGAAGACGGCGCTGGACAAGAACCCGGAGACCCGGCCCAGTGCTGCCCAGTTGCTGGAGGTAGGGACCAGCACCAGCCCCCGGGCTGGGTGTGCAGCTGGTGTCTGGGTCTGCGAGTGTCTGAACCACTGCATCTGTACAGCCTGATTCTCTTTAAGGAAGGAAGCAAAAAAAAGTGTTGATGGGTCCTAGACTGGTTTCAGGTTATTTTTCCCTTGTTTAGAAAGTTCATAGTATTTTTCAGCCATTAAAATGCTCCAAAAAAACCAGCGATGTTTTTCCCTTTGGAGCAAACTGCAGAGCCCCTAGGGACACCAGCTGGAATAGAAATGGCTCCCGTTGCCTAAAAATGCCCCCATAGCAGCCAGCTTGGATTATATCTGATTATCCCAGATTTAAAATAATCTCCTTTCCTTTCCTCCTGTCCCCTTCCAAAATAATAGCAAAAACGTGGAAGGTGTTTTTCCCCACTGCCTGCAAACGCTCTTGCTCTGCAGCACTGGCATGCTGGCTGCACGCTTCCCGTCCTGCACTGGAGGAAGGTTCCTCAGCAGGAGGAAGCGTGCAATGTGCTCTGCAAACCTGAGGGACTCCCCAGCCTTTTGCTGAAGCTCAACACAAACGCCCCACTGTGTGCACTGAGTGATTTGAGCCTGGTTTCAGTTAAACCTTCCCCCACACTCTACTTGCAGACTAGCTCTTGCCCCGCTGCCAGTGGTACCTCACGAGCTCCAACCTGCACCCCGGAGCTGAGCCCACCCGTGGTGAGGTGGGGGTGTCTCCCCTGTGGCGAGAGCCCCTTGTTTAAATGCAGCTGGTGCTCTTGTTTGGGGGATGTTGACATAAAGCAGCTTTGCAGAGCACCATGCTTTAAACATCTGTGTGCAGAGCTGGCACTTAACCTTGGCATTGTGTTCTCTTTTGTTCTTTCTCATACATGCAGCACGTATCTGTAAATTCATTTGGGGGGTTAAGCCTGGTGACACTGGCAAGAACCATGTTCTTAGGTCTTTGCAGTTGTTCAAAAGCAAGAAGTGGTCCTCACCATTGCCCTCCCTGTGTGCTCACTCAGCCATGAGGTCTGGTTTTTGGCCACCTCACACTTGTGCGTTGTTCTCGGCTTTTCAGCATCCTTTCGTCAGCAAGGTGACCAGCAACCGGGCCCTGCGTGAGCTGGTGGCTGAGGCCAAGGCTGAGGTGATGGAAGAGATAGAGGACAGTCGGGACGAAGCGGAAGAAGATGATTCATCGGAGTCTGCCTCGGTGAGCACTCCTGTCCCGGCACTGGCAAGTTTGCTGGTGCGGCTGTGATGGGGGAAAGAGCCTGGCAACTTTTCTTGGCTCCAAAAGGCTGCTTCATGGCGATTCTGGGCCCCAACAGGTGGAGGGGGAAGCGGTTGCTTGGGCAGGGAAGGACTGTTTTTCGGTGGCTGTCAAGGGCACGGAGAAGCAGTGATGCTGGTGGGTGGCCCAGCCGCCTGCTCACAGGAGGGGCTTACAAAAAGTTTTTCTTAAAAAAAAAAAAAAGTGAAAAATAGGCCCTGGTACAGGCTCAGAAGCTGGAGTGGAAGCAACACCAGCAGCATGGGGTGCAGCAGTGAGGCACCACCAGCCCTAGGAGGGAGCCAGGCAAACCTGCCCCGAGCTGGGCTCTTTGAAGGGGACAGCATGGGGCTGCCTGGGCAGCTTTGGTGGGGGAGATGCCCCGACCTCCCTCATCTGTGGAAAAGGACAGTGATTAATCCATGATGGAGTTAGCCACGGGAAAAGGGGTTCAATATGCAAACTCCTAGGCTACCTCTTAAGAATTTGCAGGTCCTGGAGCTGTTTTCTTCCAGTACTGACTGTATCCACAGCCCTTGGGACCACACACCTGGAGAAAGATGGGCGGATGTCCTAAAAGGGAACATTTCCTCCCAGTAACTCTTTAGTTGTGGGTGACTTTGCTCTGAAGCGTGGGGACTTGCAGCTCTTGCAGTTGTGTTAAAGCAGTGGTGCAAAACCCAACACCTCTTCACTGTCTTTCCAGCCCCCCGGTAAGCACAAGCGGGACCCCTCTGAGGCGAGTCAGCTGAGTTTTGATGGGGAGAAGCCTCCTGACTCTTCCTTGCCCAAGGCAGTGAACGGGGCTGTGGGGACTGGCAAGGAGACCACAGATGGACAAAGCGATCGAGTCTCAGATGAAGGGATAAGTAGTGACAGTGACAAACAGAGCAACCACTCCACAAAACCCCTTGCCAGCTCTGCCTCCTCTGGCCCAGAGGATGGGAGAGCCACCGCGGGCACCCAGGGCAAGCCAGACATCATCTCGCAGCCCGGACAGCTGGGTAACTCACCGGGGGGGAACAAGCAGCCTGCGCCAGGCGGCAAGGAGCGGAAGAGCTTTGGGGAGCGACCAGAGAGCAGCTACCTGGAGAACTTCACGGAGGAGAAGCTTGCCAACGGGAGCTTGGATCCCCCAGCACTGTTCCCTGGCAGCCGGTCCAAAGGGGATTCAGATTCTGGCAGCACTTCAGCCTCCGAAAGCATGGACCTCACCATCTCCCTGTCTGCTGACCTGTCCCTCAACAGAGAGAGTGGCTCCATCTCCCTGAAGGTGAGAGTGGTGGGCAGAGAGTGTGGAGAAGGAAGAGCAGCAAACTCCTATTAAGAAGTGCTGAGGTTTTTTTTCCTTTTTTAGCCAAGTCCCTGAAATTCAGATCCTTTCTTTGAGAGGCTGTGCACATGCATGCATCAGCCATAGCCCCTTAAAATCCTTCCTGAGAACACAGCGTGCTGTACTCTGGATGGGGTTGATCTTTGAGTATAGGAGGAGAAAGTGAGTTGCACCTAGTCTGCCCTGTGCCTGAAGGTGGGGAGCAGAGGCTGGATGAAGACAGAGGGTCCGTGAATCTTGCTTTAGCAAGATGCTAAAGACCACCCAGGTGCCACTCCAGTGCTGTTTGGTGAGGTAGCTGGAAAGGCTGGCCATGGCACTTGCGATGTGAGCTTCCAGGCTTGGAGCTCTGCAAATAAATACAGAGCCAGCAAGGAGGGAGGAAGCCCATCTCCAGGCAAAGCCTCTGATGGTTTGTATTCCCTGTCTGTGGGACACCTGTCCCAGCTGGGCTCAGGGCAGCACAGCACACGGTGCTGGGTTAAGCTGTGCCATGGGGACATGGCATGTCCTCAAGTGAAGGAGAAGCTCTTGGTGGAGCTGCTGCAAATACATGTGTCCTCTGCTGTCCCAGGCCACTGGAATCTAATGGAAGTCTGATGTTTTGTAGCTATTTTGGGTCCCTGAGAAGTGTGGAGTAACCGTGCCACTCGCCTGACTTGTGCGGTTGTACACAGTCAGAGCAGGGACAAGTACGAAACCTAAAATGTGTTTTCCTAAACTTTATCCGTTGTCCATCACTCTGCTGCTTTCCTAGAACACCTAGCCCAAGGAGAAAGCTTATTTGGGTGGTGCCTCTCTCAATTTTTCCAACCTGCCATACATCTGGTCTGGCTTGTGTCAGCAGTGGCTTGCACAAAGACCTCCCAGGCTTCTTGGCTTTTGCTAAGGCTTTCTGGAGGCTGGGAATGCTTATGAGCCAGTGCTGGCCAGGTCAGCATGGCTTAGAGGAAGAGGCAAAATAACCGGAATGATATTTGCTGAGCTTCAGAAGAAGACATGTGTGTGTCTTGAGGGGGCAGAGTGATGTGTTGCACAAGATCTTTATCCAGTTGCCTGCATGAGTGATAGCTTCCCAGCACAGAAATGTGCCCGAAAACTATTCTCGGCAAAACTTTCCTCCCCTCCTGTCTCCTGCTGTGAGCATGAGAGCCAGCATCCCCCGCAGGAGCCTGCAATCAGTGTAGATCCCTAATGAGGGAAGTGTGATGCTCTTGCATAGCAATGTACCCCTCCTCACTGCTTTTCCTATGACACCTGGTCTCCTTGAGGCTAGCCAAAGATGAATATGATGCCACATGTGTAATTGCTCTCCCCAGTTGGTCCCCTAGAAGGGGAAAGGAGCTTTTCGGGTTTTACAGGGAGTAAGTCTCAAAGAGATGATCATGTTGGATCACAGTTTGAATGGCCCCAGCCAGAGGCAATGCTCAGAACAAACTAAATGGCATCTCTCCAAGCAAGGCGTTCCAGCAGAGCTGTTCTCCAGGAGTGATGCTGCTGGAGGGCCCTGGGACAGATGCCCTGCTGACGCTTCTGCTTTGCACAATGAGCTGGGAGTGTGTGTGGGGGGGTACCAGGCTGTGCTGCTCCCTCCTCACCCAGGCTCCTTGCCCAGCCTTAGCGTCATGGGGTTAAACTCCCCTGCTCTGCCCTTGCTTGTGTTCCTGGTGTTGCTGGATTGCATGCACAGGGTGCCAGGCAGGTTGCAGCAAAAGAAGGGGCACCAAAGAGTTAAACCATTCCTGGTTGTAAACATTAACTATTACATGCTTTTTGTCACAGGCTAAACTGCAAAGTTAAGGTGACTCTTTTATTACTAGACTCTGTCCAGTTGTTTATAGTTTAGTCAAAAAAAAAAGTATTGGCAAAAAGTATCCAGGTCTTTTCTCTTTTTTCAGAAAGGTTAGGGATAAGAAATCTACAGGTGAGTTTGGGAGTTTCTCTGGCTCCTCCATTGCAGCAAGCTCTCCAGCGGCTTGCTTTGGGCCTTGCGGGCTCATGTGAAGCTCTTCTGCCATCTTTTATATCTGTAATGGTCATCACAGTAAGAGCAAGAAGACTTCAGGGAGCCTTTGCTCATTCCACCACTGTGCTTTCCTTGTAGGACTGCATGATTCAAGTTGTTCATATCTTTTTTTTTTCCCCCCAAGAAACTGAGTCCCTGGATGCAGTCCTTCAGCGAGGCTTGCACTGCTGACGCTGCAGAGGGATGCTGACCTGCTGTGGCACTGCTGGGAGAGGACGTGGTGCTCCTGGCACTTGTCCCTATCTATGCTAATGAAAGTGAACCAGGGCTGTGCTTTGTGGAGGTCACTGTAAGGGGCTCAGAGCTGGTTGTGATTAGCAAAGTGCTGTAATGAGGGCCAGAGGGACACGAGAAGTGAGCCTTGGGGCAGGGCTGGCTTGTTTCCTCCCCCGTGGCTCCATCCATAATCGCAGCCTGATGCGGGGGCCTTGCTGGCCTCGCACCTGCAGGCGTGCGGGGGGTGCCTGTGGGTCGGATGGCCCAGCAGCTTTAAAACACTGCAAGCTTCACGTTGTGTGGATTCCTTGGGACGGCCGTTCAGCTGGGTTCCAGCATCCCCCATCAGGCTTTGCTTTAGTTGGACATGGAGAGTAAGGGTCTTCAAGGTGGTAGGTTGTCTCTCCTCCAGGTCAGGTTTCTGCAGGGTGGAAATCACACTGTACTGCAGCGTGGTAGCAAAGGCTGCGTGGCTTGAATGGCAGCTCCAAATCTGCCAGTGATAAATTGTTTTGTTTTATTTTTCCCTCGGTGTGGTTTCCTTGCTTATGTTCTTCATTAACAACAGCATCAAAATTGCTCTGAGGCTTCCAGCTGCAGCACCCCATGCAGCAAGCCGGGGAGCTGCTTCATGGCCGCCTCCTTTCCTCTCCTGCCGAACTCAGGATTCCCGGATGCACAAGAAGACACTGAAACGCACCCGCAAGTTTGTGGTGGATGGAGTAGAGGTGAGCGTCACCACCTCAAAGATCATCAGTGAGGATGAAAAGAAGGATGAAGAGATGAGATTTCTCAGGCAAGTGGGTCGCGGATGGAGGGAGGGCAGGGCACCCAGCTGGGGCAGGGTTTTCTTCTCTGCAAGCAAATCCAGGAGTGACCTAAAGTCCTCTCATTTTCTGTCTCGGTCCCACTTGGATAGGACAACTGTCCAGTGTGGGCATCACTTCTTTTGGCCTTTCCTTGGCTGACAGAGGGCTTGCTGTACTGCGTAAGCTGAGCTCTGTTTGCATGCAGGGGAACAAGGGATGCATCTCAGGGATAAGATGCAGCAAGGCTGTGAAAAGGAAAGCTTGTGCTGTGGCTGGCTCTGTCCTCTGGGGATGACTGAACGTGTCTGCAGGGCTGTAGATGTGCTGGCTCAGTGGAAATAAGCACAGAAATCTTTTCAAGATGCTCCTCTTCCTTTTGTCCTTATATCTCCTCAGACTTCATTAACAGAAAGGCCAAGGGAATTGTAAACTCCTTGAGCATCACTTAATATTCAGGGGTGTATCCTCTCTGCTTAAGCCTGTATGACTCCTTTGCAGATCTTATAATTTTCAAACCTCCATGACCTATTCTCAGGGAGGGAAACTGCTGTTTCTAGCTTTGATACTATCAGTAGCAGCACTGAAATGAAAAGGCCCATAAAATAATTAAAATACAAATTGTTTTGCTTGATGCCCTGTTCTAGACTCTCTTGTGCTGCTCTGAGGAACTCCCTGAGAATATAATCTGTCCCAAGGACCTTGTGTCCCTGTGGCAGCCCTATTTGTAGGCCCTAATATCAGATATGTGCAGAAGCTCATTAGCTACTCAGTTTCATGTGAGAAGTGCATATAACCCCAATATAACATGGGCAGCACATGTACTAGCGTACAGGGAATTTGCAGCCACAGAGGCTTTTTCCTGGTCCTCTCAGGTGTGGTGGCATCCCTGAAAAGAGGCTCCTTTTTAATTTTTAAATAGTGCCTGCTCCATCTGGGAGGTGGGAGAAGGGACGGAGAGGCTTGGGTTGGAAAGCATCAAGTCCCTGAACACCTTTTGGGAGAATTTGGTTATTCCCTTGGGACTAGCTAATAGACACAATCAACTCTCCTGGCATCTTGATTTGCACTTAAGGGGCTTGTTTCTTGCATTTTGGAACACACCAAGGTATTGATCTGAAGGCTAGCTTAGAAGAGAGCACATCATATTGGGCCAGTTGATATAATGGGGCTCGAGTTGGTTTTGAAAGAAGAAAGCGTTCCAAAGTGCTTTTCCCAGGAGGGCCCCCAGAGAGGGTTGTACTCGGTGTGTAAGGCTAATGCACAGCAGCGGAGGTCACAGTGGGGACCCTGCACGGGGAAACTGCTGCTGCTGGTCCTTTTGCATGGTACATCAGTGATTTCCAGCTCGGTCGGGCACAAACATGGCAAATGGGCTCAAACGCAACCATCTGAGCAGAGGCTTCCTTTTACTGGATGAGAAGCTGGATGAGGGGAGTGATGCAGTGTCATGGTACATAAGTCAGAATTTGGGAAAAGTGCCCTTTCTACCACCAGGGCATGAGCAGGAAGGGATGCGGAGCGCCAGGGCCCGGCCAGGGCAGCACCAGCTTGGTCTGAGGTGTGTTTTGAAGACCAGTGTGCGCTAGCCAAGCTGGCAGAACGGGTATTTTGGGTGATGACTGGGAGAGCGTTGCCTGCAGCATCACCTTAGAAACTTTGACAGGGCTTGTTTGAGAAGCTGTGAATGCTAATAGGCCTTACTTGTGAAAACTGACAGTTTGCCAACAGTTAGCGTAAATTAGCATCCTGCTTCCTCGCAGTGCTTCGGTCACAGAGCCCGAGAGCGCATCAGTCAGTTGGCATTTACCTCCTGCCTGTGCTCGGAGCACATGGCAGGGTGCTACGGGACGGCTGTGTGGCTTTCATTCCCTGCTGAAATGATCTGGTTGTTGATGCTGCCATCTCTGCTCAGGCACGTGGCCCTGAACTCGTCTGACTCTCCATTTCTCTCTCCCCCTCCATTCTAACCCTCTGCAGGCGCCAGGAATTGCGGGAGCTGCGTCTCCTTCAGAAGGAGGAGCACCGAAACCAGGCCCAGCTCAACAGCAAACACCAGCTGCAGCTGGAGCAAATGCTCAGGCGCTTCGAGCAAGAAATGGTGGTACGTGAGCAGGGAAGGGGAAGCTCCTGGTACGTGCTGGTTTGACTTCCCCCCTGCAGATGCCCTGCAGACCCTCGCGCAGGGTGATGCTCTCTGGGTTGCAGCAGTCCTGGGGCATCATGTCTGGAGGGAGCAGGACCACAGAGGAACGAACCCCTTTGGGATTTGAGGGATGGGATGTGTTTGTGGAGGACAGAGCCTTTTGTGGGCATTAAGCACATGCAGCCTGCAGCTTGGGAGGCACTGACTGCCGTTGCCTGACCTGGTGTAGCAGGGGAAGGGTTGCTCTGGATTTTCCCTCTTCAACGATCTTTTCTTGTATGTCTGTTCATGGCTACTGTGAGAAACAGTTTATAGGGCTGTTGTATTTCAAAGGAAAAAAAGCCCTTTAAATAAGAAGGCAGTGTGGACAGAATGTGAGAGCAGGAAAACTAACAAGTTTGAGTATAAATTGAATAAAGAGAAGCTAGGCTTACATACCTAGTCCCTCTGTGGGCAGCTTACGTTGAAGTAAAAATAATTTTGTAGGTAAGTCCCGTTAAAGCTTTCGCGAGCCATCTTTTAAATACCCCTTTATTAATTCACCTAGTATGTGCGCCTGGTAACCCCATCCCCTTGCGGCAGGCTGGGAGCCATCACTTATTTGTGTGTTCTGTTATATTTCTACAGTCTTGACATGCCACGGCTGTGAATTCCCATCTTAGCAAGTCACTTCTCATTTGTGAGATTTATTCACCGTGCAGTACAATGTGCAAAGGCCCCCAAACCTGCTTCCTTTGCCCTTCCCCTGGGGCAGTTTGCAAGCTGCTCCCATTGATACCCATGTGCTCCTTCCCCCTTGCTCGCAGGGAGGGAGAGATCGGACACAAGGGTGCTATTGGAGCACAGTGCCTTCAAACTTGGAAGTCCTGGTCTGCGGAGAAAGAACTGTTATGTTTGAGCTTCACTGCCTGCTAATATTTGCCCAGGGCCATGGGTCCCAGGGGGATGCTGTAGATCAGGATGTAAGCAAGGAGAAACAGTTGAAGTGCTCTAGGACAAATTAAAAAATGCTTTGGGCTCATGCTAGAGCTGACTCTGCCATGTGAGCTTCATGGGGCATTATTTGGAAATTTCTTTCCTCTGTGTTTAGTAAAGAGGCTCAATTCATGCAAGGACAATCCCCATCCTTTTTTTTTTCTTCTTCTTTTTTTTCTTCTTTTTTTTTTTTCTTTTTTTTTTCCCTTCTTTTTTTTTTTCTTTTAAATTTTTGGAAGGAAACAATGCACAGAGGAGGCTGAGGTTGACCTCTGTTCCCTTCCCATACAGACAAAGAAGAAGTTCTATGACACAGAACTGGAAAACCTCGAACGGCAGCAGAAGCAGCAGATTGAGAAGATGGAACAAGATCACTCGCTGCACCGGCGGGAGGAGGCCAAGCGCATTCGCCTGGAGCAGGAGCGGGACCATGTCAAATTCCTGGAGCAGCTGAAGCAGATGAAGAAGGAGGTGAAAATGAGGATAGGGTGGAGGAAAGCTCGTTTCCTGCATCTGTTTCTTCCAGGAAAACTTCAGCATTTCTCCATAGCAGAACTTGAGAGGGAAGCAGTTGTTGGTGTTTTAGCAGGAAGTTCTTGCTCTTCTTTGGTATATTTGGGTGTTTCCTGAGGTCCAGTCTGTTTAGCAATATTAGGTGGGGTTGTTCTTGGCCTAAAGTTACCTGTTGATAAATCTCATTTCACTCCCCAAAGGTCAAGAATGAGGTTGAGAAGCTGCCACGGCAACAGCGCAAAGGGAACATGAAGGTGAAGATGGATGACTTCGCCCAGAAAAAACAAACCATGGTAGGGCTGAGAGAAGATTGCCACAAATCCAGGGTTGGGAAATGCATAGACAGAAGCATCCTTCCTCCTTGAGGGATTGGCAGTTTCTAAAATACTACCAGATGCTTTTCAAGTTGAAGCAGAAGGAGGGCTCATGGTAGTACTGCTGTTTTCTTCCAGGAACAGGAGTTTTTGGCCAAGCAGAAGGAGGACCTGGAGCTAGCCATGAAGAATATAACCGCCCAGAACAAAAAAGAGATCTGTGACAAGGAACGCGAGTGCCTGAACAAAAAGCAGCAGCTCATGAGAGGTGGGTGGTAAAGGCTGAAAAGGAGGAAGGCAAATGCTGTAACGATGGGTTTATCCAACACTGGCTCTTCCCACGCAACAGATGCTGTGACGGAGTTGCAAGCTGGTAGGATAGGATTTAGAAAAAACAGTCTTTCCAGATCCTGTCTAAATGTTTAACAATAATAATACTTAGTGCTCTAATCTTCAAAGCGCTTTACAAATACGAACCAATTAGGCTTCATAATTGCAAGAAATGATTCTCTGATATGGTTTGCAACCAATTTCTCTTGGAAAACAGGAAGTGAACGATCACCCTCCACATCTGCTGTACTGCTCCCGCGTGTAGCGATTGCTTGTGCTTGGGATGCTGAGTGCGATCAAGCTGGGGGGCCAGGGTGGGTTGTCTCCTGACCCTTCTCCCTTCCTCAGACCGGGAGGCGTGCATCTGGGATCTCGAAGAGCATCAGCAACAGGAGAAACACCAGCTTGTCAAGCAGCAGCTAAAGGACCAGTATTTCCTCCAGAGGCACGAGTTGCTCCGGAAGCATGAGAAGGTGAAGAGTTAGCACCTTCCTACACCGGTGCTGGGTGCTGGTCGGCCGGGTGGCTGGGTTTCCCCAAAAGGGATGTTTCCCTTCCAGGCTGCAAGTGGGGGGTGGAGGGTGGGTTAGGAGTTAAGGGATTTGGTCATTATTAGTAAAAAGGGACCAGAATAACACTTGGATCATCCTGCTTGCTTGGGATGTACATTCTGTGCTGCATGCATTTAACATACAAGAAGCAGTTGTGAATTTTGGGGGCTTTTCTGGAAATCTGTCACTGTCCGGTATGTGGGATAGTGGATCCCCAGAGCAGTGAGTGAAGACTGGCACATCTCACGATCATTTCTGCTTCCTTCCAACCCCCTTTTCTGCTTTCACAGCATGTTCAGTAGCTGCTCTCACTTCTTTTTCCCCTTGGAGTTGTCTGTCACCAGCCACCTCTGTGCAACTCCCAAGTCTGCTCTCCAGCTCTCTTTGGTCTCCTCAGCGCTTTCTTGTTGGCCTGAGGTGTCTCTCCTCCTCTGATACCTGTCCCTCTGCCATTGCAGGAAAGGGAGCAAATGCAGCGATACAACCAGCGCATGTTAGAGCAGCTGAAAATTCGGCAGCAGCAGGAGAAAGCCCGGCTCCCCAAAATCCAGCGGAGCGAAGGGAAGACACGCATGGCCATGTACAAGAAGAGCCTTCACATCCACTCCAGCGGGACTGCATCCGAGCAGCGGGAGAAAATAAAACAGGTCAGGTCCTGCAAAGGGCACCAGGGCTGAGGCTTGGCTTGGGGGTGAAGTACTTTGCTGGCCTACTGGCAGAAGGGAAGTCGGAAAAAAGCAAGTGATCCCGAATTTCTAACCCATGGCAGGGAGTCAGAGGTCTTTGCTTTTGTGGCACCAAGTGTGGTTTTCAGCGCTGCTTCCACCATGACTAGGGCTGGGAAGCATCCTCAGGGCTCTGTTAACCAGCTTCGGAGAGCAGAGCAATGCTGCCTACATAGGCACCTGCTT